ACTTTGCTTTCTGAAGGACTGGCAGCCTCATAATGCAGCAGATTTCCACAGTGCAGGGTACTGTTGTCATCCCCATCCAGAAGTCCCCCCAGAATTCACAGACTATTTACTTCTACTTTTCACATCCTAAATCTTTTCTTATTATTACTGGGGCTTATTCAGGTTTTTACTCATTTCTTGCATTTTCAGTTCATACTTTTCTTTGAAAAAAAAATACGGAGAAGACCTCTCCCTCCTGATTTGTGATCCCCGCACCGGACCCTGTAGCACATCCATTAACTGCTGAAGAGCCTCTCAGAATTTTTGCTTTGCGATTTCTTTCGCCCACTCAGTGGTGGGCATATTTCCCCCCTACCTGTAGTTCATTCTTCCTTCTGACAGCCTCTGCACAGCCCTGCCAGACTTGTCACACTGGAGGTTTATCCTCAGTATTGGTGCTATTATTTTTATGGTTGTATTTGTTCACGTAACGATGTTTTTTTTTCCTCACAGATTTTGCTGAAGGAGTGAATGTGACCTCACATTAGTGTAGCCTTCATGTGAGCAAGTATGGTATTATTGGTCTCACTACTGTTACGCTTTTTGCATGTTAGCTTGGTGCTATACGAACTTGTAAGTCAGACTTCTTTAAAGCGTTTTCCTACCGAGCAAGCATGGCAAAGGAAAGCTAGGGAAGGAGGACACAGCATGCCTAAGTGAGGATTTTGTATTTGGGGGGAGAGGTAGTTTAATAAAGATGATAAACAATTAGGAATAATGCTGCATTTTCAATTATCTGCCATCTCTCTCAAAACACACATATAAAATAATAAACTCACAGCAGTCTTGGCTGAAATGATTGGTCTTAGAAGCACTTATTAATTCTTAAATGTCTGCACCATGTAATAAGCCTCATGACTGCTTGCATTATTCGAGGCAAATGAGCCAGCAGGCAGTGAGACAGCACGAGAAGCATGCCCCAGTAATGGATACTGGGAGCTGCTGTGCCCAGCTGAATTTGAAGAAAACTTCACAGCAGAGTTAAAAAAAGACATAGGGAAACACTGATAAACCAAGCCATTTGGGGAGCAGCAGAGATCGTGCAGCCTGGTCACTTGGGGCTCCTCATCCCATGGGGAGTCTCCAGGGCCTGCAGATGTGGTTTAGCTCAGGCTCAAAGGTTGCTCTGGGCGGGAAAGTGCAAAATAGGGTCTCTCCTCCCTGTGCCCAGCTGTCCATGTTCATCATGCATGTAGGAAGTTAATGTCCTTCAAACCTCCCCCTCCAGTCAAATTTAGAAGTTGTGAGGAGCAAGAGACACCAAAGGTTTCTGAGCCTGGGTACCTTAGGAAGCCAGGGGCTTTCTAACCAGGAGTCCGCTGTTTAAGATCTGTAGCTGGAATCGGTGAGAGCTGTAGACTAAGGCCGGGAAAAGGAGCTGATATTAATGGACCAGCCCTTACCTGGCACAAACCTGCCTAGCTCTGTTCCTGTGAAAGGTGCCATGCTGGCTGTGCACATCTCCTGTTTGTCTTCCTTTCTCCAGGCTCCGGGGGCAGAGCTGTAAGGGATTCAGATAACAGATGATAACTTAAACAGCATCAGAGCAGAGCTCATATGTAGTCCTGGGTGCTTGAGCTACAAAGTGGAGATCAAATCCTGCTGATCAGGGGTGCCCGGGTGAGCCTGGCCCACCTCACTTCTGGCTTGCTGGCAGCTGAGGCTGGTGGGCTAACACGGAGCCTTGCTCACAACCTGCCTCTGCGAGGCACCTTGCCTGGGACAGGTGTCCAGGTGGGGTGAGCAGGTCACAGGACCTTCAGGATCCCAGGCTTCAAGCTCACACCTGCAGTCTCCCTTCTCGGACAAGCTCACACCTGCAGTCTCCCTTCTCGGATGCATTTCAGTCTCCACAAACTGCTTCACCATCAGTCTTTCCTCTGCCAGGCTTGCACGTGGCTTGCAGAAACCATGGAGGTGAGCACAAGCTGGTGCTTGGGTGGAGCCACTGTCCATTGGTGCCTGGGAAGGGCACCTGCACCGGCATGGGGAACCATCAGCCCCACAGAGCAGTGTGAATGAAGGCAGACATGCGCTGGGGGCTGGCATGGTGAGGCACCTCCGCAGCCGGTGGGGAGCAGAGCAGAGCTCATGGTCGTTTCATTTGTGGTATTCACAGAACAAAGTAAAATCACCATAGGAAAAATGACCAAGAGGAACTCCCCGGGAGGACGTACACAGAGATTTGCGCATGTTCCCCAAGAGAGAGGAGAGGATGGAGATGCTGAGAGAGGTAAGACAAAGGGAGCTGGAGAAGTTCTCCATTTTTGAAAATTTTTAAGTTAAAAACCAGAAAACTAAAATCTCCTATTGGGAAATCCCTTGGAGGATATCAGAAAACAAAGCTGAGTAGAGTTTCTTTGGATCCTGTGGAATTTAGCATAGATTTGTCATCTAGCTGTCAAACCCACTGGAAATGTCTCATTCTCTATTAATAGTTTCATAGATTTTAGAGATTTTCCAGCTCAAAGGACCGTTCTGTTCATCTCCTCTGACTTCTCGCATGAAGTAGGTTATTCCTGTATCAAGTCTATCAATTCTGGCTGAACACAAGTGTATCTTGTGCAAGGATCTCCGCTGAGATTTAAACACTTGGAGGCACAGAGAATCCGTCACGTACTTGGTGAATTCTTGCAGTGGCTAATTGCCCTCACAATTAACCGTGTCTTTCCGAGCATAGCAAAGCCTTCCAGCTGCAGCCTCTGATCCTGCAGGCAGGGATTCAGCGAGGTTAAAGAGCTCTTAATCATGAAGAATTGGTTTCCCATCTAGAGACTTGATCAGTTCAGTGGCTTTTAGTCTGTGGTCTGCTGACCTGTGGGGCTCTTCTGGGTCCTTGGAAAGGATCTCTGCAAGCTATCTGGGAAAAGCTAGCATGTTAAGGAACTTCAATTAATTATACATGGGTCACCACTAGAAAAATATTAGAGGTCTGCTAAAAAGGAAGAGCTGAAACTGCTGGTTTGTGGCTGTTTCTCTGGGGAAATAAATAGAAATGTCTTGCAGTCATTGTGGTGGCTGCACCCTTGTGTTACGGGGGTGAGTGGAGGAGCGAGCCGGGTTTCTGGAGGGAGAGAGGCAGAAGCAGAGCAGGGTGGCTGCAGGCTGGGAAAGGTCCTGTACTGCCATTTGGGGGCACCTTGGATCCCTCTCCTCAGCAGTGTGCAGCCACACATACCTGTATGGTAGCATCTACGCAAGCAGCTGGGTGCAAAATGTGTGTGTTTGTGTGCCTGGAGCCTGTTCCCCTGCCTGGGCTGGGTGACGGGGCAGGAAATCAGTGAGGAAGAAGATGATTTTATCCAAACTGGGGCAGGGTGGCTGTTTGCATGGCTCTGTAGGGGTGGTGGGGCACCTGCTCTCCCCGGGGAGGCCCTGGGGGTGTGTGCCTCAGCTCCTTGAAGAAAGCCCAAAAAACGTGTTCTCTGTGGCATGGAGGAGGCCCAGCTGCTCCAGAGAGGGGCACAAGTCATTCCCCCACCACTTCTGGTGACCTGGGGCCTCTGCCCACCCTTCCCCTTGGGCAGTGAGGGAGCTGGGGGGGCTGTCGGGGCAGTGGCGGGGGGACACCGTGCTGGAGCGCTCCACCTTGCTTTTCTAGGGAGCCAGCCACAGAGAGCTGTGCCCACTCCATAAATAAAAGCTACTGAAACCTTTGCCTGCTGCCGTGGTTTCTCCATGAGGCTTTTTACCGCTGTGTCTCGAGAAGCTGATTTAGAAGTGTTATTGGGGCTAGGACGTTTTTATGAGGTACTGCTTTAACACCCCACTGCTTGGGAAGCCCATGCTGCCTCAGTTACAGACTCGGAGGGACACAGAGACCAGGTGAATTAGAGACGCCTCTGACAAAGCTCTGCCGAGGCTCTGGCGAACACGGTGTCCTGAATGGTGGGCTGTCTGGTGGGCTCCTTTGGGTGAGGGATGGCCGCTGTGAGTTTGCCAGGGTGCTGGCAGCCCCAGCCCGGAGGGCAGCTGTGAGGTGACAGCTGCCGTGACCTGCGGCCCTGTGGCCCGGCCTCCTGCAGCCTCCCGGGGCTCACCGTGCGCCGGTCGGTCCCACGGAGGTGGCAGGACCCCTCTTCTGGCCCCTTTCCCCTCTCCAGCTGCCTTCGGGTCATTTGAAACCCTTCACTCCAGCTCAAAAAGCCAGAGATCAGATCCTGGGGCTGACCTGCCCCTTGGTTGCAGCCGTACTCGTGTCCTGGTCCCCAAACTGGGGACGCGTCTCTGTCCTGGGACCCCCCTGGTCCGAGGGCAGGGCTGCTGCCTGCAAGGGGGAGAAGGACCCATTTGTAGGGCAGGATTATTTTTCACGGCTTGTCTTTTCAAAGCACCTGGGCTCCTTGGAGCGTTGCACTAGTTCTGCCTGGGGGTAATCCATCATAAGACAAGCGTGTGAGTCTCTTTTTCCACTGGGCTGTATTTTAAAATGGTTGTCCTTGGAGCTGGAGTAGTTTGGATGTATGACTCCAGCAAAAGTGAGACCCTACAGTAAATGAATGCAGCTATGTGGAACTGCTCAGCCTTTTGCTTTCATCTAGCACCTACCTGTGTTTACTCCAAATTAAAACATATTCCAGTAGCTACCATACCTCTCTCTCTCTCTCCTGCCAGCTGAATGCTCTGATATGTAAAAATCTGCACATGGCCTGTTCTTAGTAAACAATAACAAAATCAGGTATTAATTTAGTTAAATTCCTTGAGACAAGCAGCCAAGATAGACATGTTCAAAGCAGAGATGATGACAGAAATTCATATTTTTTGAGAAGAGCAGCGAATCTCATCTGTCCTTTCTGAGGACTTCATGAAGTGCACAATCTCCAAATGCTCTTTTATCACTAAACCTAATTACTGGAGTTAGTTACATCCAAATTTACATTTGCAACTGGCAGAGCAAGAAATCGAGATTTTAAAATAAGTATGTAGATCTGTTAGACAACTTTGTTAACTCTTCTTTTCTCAGCAGAGAGCTGTGTGATCTGAAAGGAAGAAAGTCCAAGAGGCCCTGCAGGTGTGATGTAACCTGGTTTCTAATTGCCGAGCAGGTATGAGCTGCAAAGCTTCGTTGCAGTAATGAAGCATCTTCTTTTAGTTTATTCAGAGCAGGTCAGGAGGTGATGTGATAATAGTCTGGAAGTACCTATATCCAGGGAGAAGCTTCTGGGAGGCTCTTTAATCTCTCAGACAAGAGCCTGACGAGACTGGAGAGTTAGCCAGAAAAAAGGTTGAAGGTACAACGTGCAATGTGAGGTTAATTAACCAAAGGAACAGCTCCCCGGGGGGGGATGTCTGCTGCTTTCAAGTGGACTTATTTTGGAGAAGTGACGCAGCTCCCACATGCACAGAGCGGGAGCCCCGGCAGCTGCCAGGGCTGCCGGCTGGGACCCCGGGGGGATCTCTGGTGAGCAGTTTGTGCTCGTCCACCCCAGCCACCGTTCCTGGCAGAGCAAGCACGTTTATCCGGGAGCTAATCTCAATTCCCAAGCTTCCAGGTGGGCCTGGCATGTTGTATGTTTGTCCCAGGGCTTTGCACACTGCTTTCTTTTCAGCTTACTGGCTGATGCTTGGTTCAGAACGGTTCCTGGGAATTTATGATAGCCTGGGAAGAGCTGGTGAGTCAGGAGGCAGCCAGTCATTAATTCCCAGTAATGCCTTGGACTGAGCTCATTACTGTTACCCGAAGATGAAATGATGTAGAAAGTAGAGATATTTATTTTTCTGAGGCTGGTGCAGCGTGCTTTTGGAAGACACTGTGCTCTGGGGAGAACCAGTGCCGGTATCTGGCAAGTGAGGAGTCCGAATCTTCTTGCAGTGGTTTGCTCAGCGTGGTACTGTGCTGTGTGTTTGAAACATAGAGGTTGTCTCAAGGTCACACTGCTGAGATTCAGCTTTGCTGTTACTATGAAAGGAGAGCTCTCATTGCCCTGGTAGATCTTTTTTTACTCTGCTCTGCACATAAAGGGCAAGTCTTGTAAGCTCTTGCAGAAAGAAGAAAAGGTTCACAGAAATCCTCCTGTAAAGGACTGCTCTGAATGGGAAACTGTGTCTGGTCCAGTAACTGCCTCTGTCTTTCTCATGCCTGCCTCTGGGCTCAGTCTTAGTGCCTGCTGCATCGCACGAGGGCAGTTCGGTGGGTGCAGGCGATTCAGTGCAAGTCTTCCCATACCAGAACCTGCAGGATGCTTGGGAGGAAATGGAGAGAGATCCATCTGAAAACCATTTAGCAGATTACAATAAAGTTAATCTAGCAGTTGCCATAAAACCGTTAGGAGCTGTCCTGACAGAGCCTTTTCCTTCTCTTTTCTAGCATCCCTTGGTGCATGCAGCACCTGCGAGACCGACAGCATTTCCTAATGCAGGCCCAACGCACGCAGGTGCTGCAAAGCCATTTAATTCTTCTGGTCCCTGTACTGTTACACTGGACTTGGGAAGACAATTTGGCTTTTAATTTCCTTTCCTTTCCAGGAACCTAATGCAGGCAGCGTGTGTTGCGGTCACCTTCCCTTTCCCAGTTAGTGCTTCAGCAAATCCGTGATGGCACAGGAGGGAGCAGCCAGGATGGGCTGGTGAGCCCCAGGACAGCGTCCCCTCCTCATGCCAGCGAGGGCAGCGGGGCGGTTACATGGCTGGAGGGAGGCTGATTAATTCAAACACTGCCAGCACTAGAGGGACAAAAGCACTGATCAAGGTTGGAGGCTGGGCAAATAGAGACACTGATCATTGGAGAGTTTTACAGGGATAATAAAAAACATCATAATAAATGGCCATGAATATTTCATGGCTGGTGTAGCGCTGATGTAATATATCATTGAGGAGTGATGGGGTTTTTCAACATTTCAATGCAAATGGAGACTACGTTCTATATTTTACAGGTTTCTCCCCAGACATGCTATGTTTTCTAAAAATCAGATTGACTGGGAGCTTTTGATAAGAGAAACAACTTCAGGGCTGTGGTTAGAGTAAAAAGAAAGGCACAGGCAGCATCAGAGGATTGTCGGTGTTAGAGATGAAAAACCCCACGTAGATCAAGAAGCTTTCCTCCCTGAACGGCAGGGAAGCCAGGTAGGGTTCCTGGAGGGAAATCAGGCTCCGTGCTTCCTTGGAGCAGTGTGAGGGAGCCAAATTCTCCCTCCTCCAGGGACTCGGAAACACGAGGTGGCCGTGGCACAGCTCCCAGCTCCTCTCCGGGCCAGGGGATGGCAGTGCCTGGCCCAAGGGGAGGAAGAGGGCAAAGGGGCAACTCACGCTGCAGTGTGAGATGCAACAGGGAGGACGGCAACCGCTTTGCAGCGGGTCACCATGCGCATTCAGTGTCGACTTTGTGTCCCACCAGGAACTGCTCCCAGGCAGAGGGCGAGGAGATGGCTGTGGGTCCCCAGGTCGAAGGTTGCACTCCATCTGTCCCTGCTGAGGAAGGTAATGATTTTAGACTGAGCATTTTGTGTTTGGTCCCTGATGCTGAGCCAGCCGTGGCACGCAGTCTGCCCACAGAGCCTGGCAGCTGGCTGGGTCTGTCCCAGCTGTCCTCCTTGGACTTCGAATTGACAGCCCACATGGCTGGGGGAGGAAGTCCGCAGTGCGGGAGGACACAGAGACTGAGCTCTCTTGAGAAGTTGTAGTGGTTCCTCTGGCTTTGCCCAGGATGAGGAGAGACAAGCTCCTGCTCAGTATTGTGGTGTTCTTGGGGCCGCGTAATCGGGCAGCACAGACCGACACTCTGCCCAGGGAAAACCACCCAAGGACTTAACTACAGAGAGTAGAGTGGGAAACGGTCCTGTGCTTTGTCACGCAGCAAGAGGAACTTGGGCTCCTCAGCAGTTATTTCCTGCCAGGGCACAAGCTTGCTAATGTGTAATCTCATGATAACCTGATGTCTACGTGCATCACACACATAAACACACACGGATGAGCATGGGCAGGTGCCCATGCGTGGGCAGCTGCCAAGGCCAAGCACCAGCTTGTGTCTGTGTAAGATGGCAGCTGGGAGGACTGACAGCCTCCCCTTTCCTTCCACAGCGCGCTCTAGTTATTTGCTGCTAGGTATTATATTAACTAACACTGGTCTGCTCTGCTTCACAAGCACCTTTCAAGTACTTGTCCTCTCTCTCTTAATTTAGCCTATCATCTGGTCTCTGGACATTTAACAAACTGCGATGCATGTTGCAGCTTTGCAAGTTTGCATGTTGCAAAACAGTTTCTAACAAGCAGCCTGTCTGCTGTCCTCCCCTCCACAATGTCTTCTTTGGCACAGGAGGCAAAGTCGTGGCTTGATACAGGATACACAGGGCCAGAGAGAAGAAGCCTTTACAGGCATGTGGCTGTGAAAAGGAACGGATAAGAAGGTGGACAGCCTGCAGAGGTGTGCTCTGCTTTATTGGCCTTGGGCTAAACTTGGCTCTTTTCACAAATTGCTTCTTCTCTCCATGCTTCTGTTTTCCCCTTCCCAAAGAGCCCCTCTGATGTGCTCCTTGTATCAGTAAGAACCAGTGGATTACTAGCTACTGCCGTTTCCAAATCCTGCTTTGCTGCAGTGCACAAGCAGGGAGCACTCGACTCCTCCTGCCTGCTCTGCCTGTGGGGAGCCCCTCCGTCCTTCTGGTGCATGAGTACAGCGCCCAACCGGGGATTATTTCTCCTCTCAACTTTGCAACTTGCCAAACTGGGATTTCTTTGGGTTTTTCACTTGGTCAGTTCCTCCCTGCCACGCTGCTGAACTGGTGGCACCAAGGACACTTATCCTGGGTGTTTGTCCCCAGAAAGGTTGCACTGTGGCCTTGGGAATCCTAGGCCTTGGTAGTGCCTTTTCAGGCGATGACTTCAGGTTTCTCAGAAGCGCTACCAAGGTTTCCTTTCCCCCTTTTCACCTCACTCCCGCCTATCTGGCAGGTTTCTGCCTGTACACAGGTGCAGGCACTGCCCACGAGAGCACTTCCATGCTGCGCCGTTTTCACCAACATGCTAACGAATAAACAAATCACAGCCATCAGCAGAGCACGTCAGCAGGGCGAACCTTTGCTGATGTATTCGGCCAGGTGGCATCTCAGTGGAGGTGGGCCCATCAAACTGCAAGTACCTTTCCAGAAATGAAAAAGAAAGACAAGGAGAAATTATAGAAAAGATACACTTGTTTTAAAGTTTGAGTCTCAAAAATGCTGTGAGCTAATTCTTCCCAAAATGGGTGCTGTCAATTGATGGGCACTATTCCATAAACGTGTTACGCTCACTTACCAGATCAGGAGTATTTCTTCTTGGAGAGTGCTGATGAGATCGTGCCTTGATCAGCCAAATTGGGGCTAATTTTAATCTGCTTTACTACAAAGCAGTCGTTTCATTTCTCTTTAGAATTCAAACGAACATTTCCTCTGTATTTCAGCTGTGCTGAACTCGCTTTGCAAAGACCCCCTCCAGGCATTTGCTTAAGAACTGGTGAAATTACCCTGCCTAATGGCCTCCAGAAGTTAAGTTACCCAAGCGTAAACTGTGCCACGCAAGTCCCAGGAGCTGTGTGAAGCAAACAGTGCGTTGGTTTTTGTGCCAGTCTCAAGGTAGCAGCTGAAGTATAAACTGGGGAAGGAAAAGGACTTAATATGCTCACTCTCTTCGTTGTTTTATTTTTGTTTGTTTGTTTGTTTGTTTGTTCAGTGCTCCTCCTGGAAAATGCCTGGATGGGAGAAGAAGCATTTATCTGTCGCTCTGTTCTGCTAACAACTTGGATCAGGAAGGCTGGAGAACCATCAGCAGTTCCCATGCTCTGAGACCAAGGCCACGTCTGGAGCCGGGGGCTGGGTTAGCTGTGCAAGTGTAGGGAGACCCTCCTGCACCCTCTCTGACCACGGGACCCTCGAGCAGAAGTGCCCCAGGCTTCTTGCCTATAGACAGGAGCGATTTGGCAGCGCAGCCAGGTAGGCTGAATCGTGCTTAGCTGTTCTACAGGGATTTTCCTTTGCTTGGAAACCGGCTGGATTAAATCCACAGGCATCAGTTGCACAAATACCTGTCAGCTGGAGTGGCAGCTTCTGGCTGTGGCCGGATTAGTGGCCGTCTCCCTCCCAGACCCTCTGCGGGCTGGTGAGCTCTCTCTGGGGCTAGCATGCGCTCAGGTTTCCTTCCTCAAGGTTGAATTTAGCTGCCATAAAGTGTAACAAGAAAAACAGCCTATATCAACCTCAAAATAACTAGCAGAGCTTCAGATATTGTTTTCTACCAAATGTGAATCAGATTAGCCAAAAGATTTCTAAATTAAATTTCTCCCAATAGACAGGGAGTTACAGTTAGTAACTCACAGCAGTGCTTACACTCTGGTTTGTCACTTAGAGGAAAACTGGGGAAGAGAAAGAGAAATGTTGGTATCCTGCATCTTGTGACCAGCCAAAGCAGATAAAGCAAAACCACCACTCCAAACACATGGGCCCCGCTGCTCTCCACTGGCAGCTGCTGTCATCCCGTTCATTTCCACGGGGCTTCTCCCACTTTACCAGTGCAGGAGCAATGCTCTGTACTTGAGCAGCGGCTCTTGGCTCTGCAGAGGTGTTTTGGACCTGCTCAGAGCTCCAGGATGTTAATAATGAATTAAGGTTGTTAATTATGAATATCCATAGCTTCAGACATTTGGGCTTTTTGTACAAAAGGTATCCACTCTGGAAGGTCTGGGGTCCTGTGCTGTGGGACCTAGTGTGCCTACCAAGGGACACCCCTGTGAGCTTGCAGTGATTTTTTCTCCCTCCCAGTGGTAATATAGCTGTGGCCAGAGGGTGAAATCCGCTCCATGGAGCACAGCCCTGGGCCTGCACTGGGCAGTTGGGAGCCCTGCCTCCTGCTGATGGGGCAGGCTATTCCCCCTGGGGCCACTCAGCTCCTGCAGGGCAGCTCCCTCCCTGCTTCGGTGGCACCAGCTGGCCCAGAGTCTCCCACTTGGTTGGGGAGCAGAGGAGGTGCTGCGGGGGCAGCTGGCTATAGGTGGAAGAAGGGGGGCAGCTTGCAGGGGTGCTTTGCCCCTCACCCTGGGGCTGTTGGTGCCCAGGCTTCCTCAGTGGGAGGCTGAGTGGTCCCTGCTGGCCCTTGGCTGGCAGCGGAGAGGTTAACGGTTGGCAGTATCAGTGCTCCGGGGAAGGAGGTGGTTGGTCTCGCTGCTGAGGACTTTTTTTCTTAAAGCATCAGTTGCTTGGGTAGATTTGGCAAGTAACTGTCATGAATGCAAAAGAAGAAAGTACAATAAATCATCATTAGCACAAGGTTTGGCTTACTGGGAACTCCATCACCAAACATACAGCTATGCTCCCTGCATGGGTTTATGCAAGTAGCTCTGAGTTATTGCAGGCCTCTGAGATTTGCTTTTCTTATATTTACAATGGCTAGCTGTAAAATAAGCCATAATTTTACTTGTCCTGTGCAAAGCACAGTTGAAGTGCTTCCCTTTTAAAAGCATTTTAAGATGAAATAATTAACAAGCAGGAAAACAACCACCAGTTTGGAGCCATGCTATTCTGTTTATGCTTCTCCCAGGACCCTTCCTCTTTTGGATCCAATTTCTCCAGTTTCCCTTGCAGTTTATGGGCCTGAGCTGGTAAATCACATTCAGGCCTTTGCCTTGCTCTGCATTTAGGAAGTGGTGTGATCCCCAGGAATAAATTTGGACCATGAGAGCTCCCTGCAGCCTAGTGGCCATCCCAGCCCTTCAGTGCTTGCCTTCAGGCTTTGCAGAACTCTGCTTTTGGGTTTATTCATCTGTCTTCTGGTGAGCTATGTTCAAATCTGAGAAACAGATTCCATGGCCCTGTATTTCTGCACCACATTTGTGAGTAAGGACCTGAGTTTCAGCAGTGACTGATATGAATAGGTCTGCCTGCAGTTAAAAATAGAAAGCAGGGAGCATCCTCCCCGCCAGAGCTGTAGTCACTTCCAACAGCAGGTCTCTCGGCTGCAGTTCCCATGGCGAAGCTGCCTTGGGGTGGTGGAGAAGGATGTGGCAGACGAGAGATTCCTGGTGGAAATCAGCTCACGAAGCACAAAGCCCAGAGGAAGCCAGGCTCCTCCTGATTTTGAGTTTTGCAGTTTCCTTCTGCCTGGTATGCAAGTGTCCTGCCCAGGAAAATCCACTCCTTGGCTGTGTTTCTCTGCGCCTCTGTTTCCCCTCTGTAAGGCAGAAGCAGTGCCTTTGGGCATCGTGGGGACATTAGAAAGTACCTCAACCCCAGGTAGAGGAAGCCCTGTGACTTAGTCACCTATGAACCCATATTAGGGGAATCTGGTGGGTGGAAACAGAGGCATAGAGTGCAAAAAGGGCCTGTGGAAGTTCACAGAGCTTTTGCTGCTAACTGCAGCTGCCTTACAGGCCAGGCAGCTCTGTGTGTTGTGCAAGGTCTGTAACAGTCATGGGGACTGACTTCCTTGCTGCTTGACTTCTGAGTCAAAAATGAGCACTCAAGACATATTTCAAAGCTCTCCCCTGTACTCAGGAGAGGACAAACCTTTATTTCTTCTCTTCCAGTCAATGAAAATTGAGTCTTGGGCACTGGAAGGCTGGCAGGCTTACATGATCCTAGAAGCAGTGTCAGTAGAAGAGCAGCCAGGGGTTTGACCTGCTGCATTGCTGCTGTAGCAGAGCAGGGCACAGGCCCCGTATACTGCTCCCT